TACTTTCCTCCGTCCTCTCACTGTCCCACTTCTTCCTAGCTAACCTCTTCCTCTGGATACTCTCCTGAACTTCCTCATTCCACCACCAAGTCTCCTTGTCTTCTTTCCCCCTTCCAGATGACACACCTAGCACCTTCCTACCTGTCTCCCTGATCACTTTGGCTATAGTAGTCCAGTCATCTGGAAGCACCTCCTGACCACCTAAAACTTGTCTCAACTCCTCCCTGAAAACCACACAACACTCTTCCTTTTCCAACTTCCACCACTTTGTCTTCTGCTCTGCCTTTGCTAATCAGTTGCCAAGTTAATATTTCTAATTTATGAAGTTTAAGCTTTTCTTCACATATTTATATTTTATTTAATTTTCAGCTTTATTTCAATTACTAAAAACATTTCTAATAGTTTAGTAAAAAAAAAAACTGTTCAAAAGATACATTATTGTTGCTACTGTAAAACTACAGTGAATTAATACTGGATCCTAAAAAAGCATAAACCGCTTTTGTTTTATAATATTTTCATAATCATTTTGTTCCCATAGTTTTTTAGTAACTGCTACTTTAGCATAAACTTCAGTTACTAACATAAAAACAGAAAGTTTTATGGTTTTTAAAAAGGTAAACTAAATTGATTCTCTTTGGTTTTTATTTATTTATTTTATAAATAGATTTGTATCATGCTTGCCCTTCCACCACCAAGTCTCCTTGTCTTCTTTCCTCCTTCCAGATGACACACCTAGCACCTTCCTACCTGTCTCCCTGATCACTTTGGCTATAGTAGTCCAGTCATCTGGAAGCACCTCCTGACCACCTAAAACTTGTCTCAACTCCTCCCTGAAAACCACACAACACTCTTCCTTTTCCAACTTCCACCACTTTGTCTTCTGCTCTGCCTTTGCTAATCAGTTGCCAAGTTAATATTTCTAATTTATGAAGTTTAAGCTTTTCTTCACATATTTATATTTTATTTAATTTTCAGCTTTATTTCAATTACTAAAAACATTTCTAATAGTTTAGTAAAAAAAAACTGTTCAAAAGATACATTATTGTTGCTATTGTAAAACTACAGTGAATTAATACTGGATCCTAAAAAAGCATAAACCGCTTTTGTTTTATAATATTTTCATAATCATTTTGTTCCCATAGTTTTTTAGTAACTGCTACTTTAGCATAAACTTCAGTTACTAACATAAAAACAAAGTTTTATGGTTTTTAAAAAGGTAAACTAAATTGATTCTCTTTGGTTTTTATTTATTTATTTTATAAATAGATTTGTATCATGCTTGCCCCTTACTCGACATATTTCTGTACATTTATGGTTGTGGATGTATTACATGTATCTGTTACATTCGTAATGTTGGTGAAGGAAAAATGAAAGATCACCTCTGAAACTCTACGCTCTGCATTGCATTTCGGAAGTGATCTTTGATTGGTCCGCATGAGATGACGTACCCCTTGCGAGTCATTGGTCCCTTTCTTTTGGTAATCCTCGGCTAGGAAAGTGATCGCACTAAGGTAAATATTGTTGTATCTTATCCGTGGTTGAACGCTGCGCTATATTGATACGCTTAGAGAATTATAAACAACATAATCTGATCTATTTTTCAATGCCCAACAGATTAATTCTGGTTGGACAACTTAATATCGACAGCGATCGGACGGCTTGGTAACTCGAGGAGCCGGGTGTCGTTCAAATGACGGTTGAGCAGCCAGTGAGGAGCAATGTCGTCCGCTGAGATATGTTAGCTTGTTGACAGCTAGTCAACAAGCTAACGTAGTTAATTAGCGTAGCTAAGACTCCTAATTTATCGAAAGCATCGACATGGCTTGATAATATAGTAATTGTTAGTCAATATATTCCCTTTAGGGGATGCTTAGTTGCAAACGAATGCGTTGAGCAACATATTGTGTGAGGATAATATGAGGACTTTCGAGTTAGCTTAGTTCGATAGCTGAAATCGTTTTATTACCCAAGTGATTTGTCAGTACATTTGTGACCGTATCTTCAATAATATGTGACAGGGCTTCACGGCTGGTATCTAGTGTTGCTCTAGCTTCCTCTTTATTGGGGCTTGGCTTGTGGCTAAACGTGTTCTTGAGGTTACATCTATACTCTCCTACCTCTATACTATCAGTTTCTTTTTTTTTGAAAATGAAAAACTGTGAGTATCAACAAATAGACCCACGAGCGCTCAGAACATCGACCACCCGGACCTCCACCAACAAAAACGTACGCGTACGGAGGAAATGGGAGGTTTTTCCTGGAAACAATCGCTTCTATTGTGATGGCCGTATTATGTTGGCCAGGCAGTGCGGTGTGCTCCCGCTGACCATCGGCCTTATTTTCATCACCAGTGGCTTATTCTTCATATTTGAGTGAGTAGTATGCATTTACACACAGAGACACCAGTGTCCACACTGCTGGACAATAGTACAACTACTTTTGACAATAGAGACATCTCCACCAGCCCTTCTTGACATCATACCAGTCTGAAAACAGTTGCTCCCACAAAGTTATGAGAAAGCACACTTACAATATTTGTCTTGAGTTCTAACTTTGTTCTTGTCTTTGTGTTTGATTCATAACAGTTGCCCCTTTCTGGTGCATAACCTCACGTTCTTCATTCCAGTTATTGGTGGGGTGTTATTTGTATTTGTCGTCATCACCCTCTTTCAAACCAGTTTTATAGACCCAGGGATTTTACCCAGGGCTTTGCCGGATGAGGCTGCAGACATTGAGAAACAGATTGGTAAGACTTTGATTGTGGTGTTTATATTTCATTATTTTGTGTCCTAACATTTTTGTTGTGTATGTTGATATTAAAGTTGTGGGTTTCTTTAAAGATAATTCTGGATCTTCAACATACCGTCCACCTCCCCGCACTAAGGAGATCCTTATAAATGACCAGGTGGTCAAGCTTAAATACTGTTTCACATGCAAGATGTTCCGTCCGCCTCGGACATCCCATTGCAGCCTGTGTGACAACTGTGTTGGTAAGGATGGATCTCTATATTTCAGCAAACAAAGTTTCTGCATTTAAAGAAATAGTTCATCCAAAAATTTTAATATTATCTCTCAATCACCTTCAAGTCATTCTAAATCTCAAATTATATGGTGAAATTTTGAATTTGTTTAAATTTTGAATGCAATGTGAATGGGGACTGAAGCTTTAAAGGAATAGTTCACCCAAAATGAACATTTTGATAATTTACGCACTCTCGTGTCATTCAAAACCCGTATGACACTTATTCTTCTGTGGATCATAAATTAAGATATTTTAAGAAATGCGTTTTGGTTTTGTTTTTCTTCATGCAAATTAAGTCGATGATTACCAACATTCTTCAGAATATTTGTGTGTGTGTGTTTTGCAGAAGAAAGAAAATCATACAGGTTTGTAAAGACATGAGGGCGAATAAATGATAACAGAAAATTTATTTTTCGGTGAACTATCCCTTTATAGCTTCAACAAGAACCATAAAAGCAGTCCATACAACTTGAGTGCTATATTCCAGTTTTCTGAAGCCGTGCACTTTGTGTATAAATTAAAATTTTATTCATTATTCACTGGTTATCTTTTCCTTTAGTGAGCTGTTTACCTCTAGAACCGGAGTCAGTGAGTTGCAGTGAACTTGCAAATTGAATCAGTCTGATTTATGAACTAATAATTTATACCAAGAACAATCAGGTTCTTTCACAAATCTGTCAGTGCAGCGTCTTTAACCTAACCTCATGGAAAGCCCTATTAGGGTGGATGTCAAGATTTTCAGTTAAACTCTGTAAATTAAACTTTTAATTTCATTGACAGCCATTGATTGGCTTTAGATGGCTTGGAAAGTAGCGCACAAGTCAAATTATCCATTTTTATGAAACTTTTACTGTGCTTTTGCTTTTTTTTTTTTTTTACCTTAAATGTTCTAGTACCCATTTAGTGTAATTCCATGAAAGGAAGTCATATTGGTTTGAAACCACATGAGGTTTCGGTAAATAATGACAGAACTGTTTCTTTAAAGCTACAAAATATGTTGCTTTGATAATGAACGTGTAATAGTTTAACCTCTAATACAAATCACTTCCTTAAAATCATTGCATAAGCATGCACTGTGGTTATTTGTAAGTGTTGCTGTGTCTGCGAATGTCCTGTCTCTGTTCCCTTTGTAGAGCGGTTCGACCATCATTGTCCTTGGGTGGGGAACTGTGTTGGGAAGCGAAACTATCGTTTTTTTTACGCATTCATAGTGTCACTATCCTTTCTGACCTCCTTTATCTTTGGATGTGTGATTACTCACCTCACATTAAGTAAGTTTCACAACACTTCTGCACCACAGTCTCTATCTTCATCATAAAAAATCTTAATACTTATTTATGACAGTTGTCAGTGGGAGAGCTATAAATGAGTGCATCTATGTTGAAATGGTGATTGTTCAAAACCAAGAAACCTTTAAATACTTTCTATATAGACATGTTCAAAAGTTTGGGGTCATTAAGATTTTACTATTTTTGTTTTTTAAGAAATGTATATTTTATTCTGCATGGATGCATTAAATTAATCACAACTGACAGTAAAGACAATTATAATGTCATAATGAAATCCAAATAAGTTGTTCTAATCCTAAATCAAAAAAAATGTTCATGGTTTTTTCAAAAATATCACATGGCACAACTGTTTTCAACATTGATAATAATATGAAATGTTTCATGACCATGAATCAGCATGTTAGAATGATTTCTGAAGGATCATGTGACACTGAAGACTGGAGTAATGGCTGCTGAATAAATGACATTTAGAAAAAATATTAAAATAAAAAATATTAATTATAAATCGTAGTATATTTCACAATATTACTGTTTTTACTGTATTTTGATCAAATAAATGCAGCCCAAGCGTTTAAGCAGTACTGTAGATGTATATGATGAGATTGTCAAAATACAACAACAAAAAAAAAGACTGTTTTGAAGCAGGTTTGTTCTCTCATCAGTTACTCTCATCAACAGGATCACAAAGTATGAATGGTATCATCCAGGCAATAAAGGAGAGCCCAGCCAGATATCCTTTTTACTGTGTTCACACCCCTGTCTCCATCGCTGGCATGTCTGCACCACCCCTTTCCCCAGGAACACACAGTAGAGTTCACTATTTGTTTACAGGCCCACTGCTGTTGGTTCCACCTTTTTCCTAATCTCATTCATCCCTAATCGGCTCAAGGATTCCACCACGCCCTGCTTTCCTGTCAGGATGTAAACAGTTGCCCCTAGATACAGATTCTGCTGGTGTCCCTTTTTAAGATTGTGGCTTGAGGTCACAGTTTTCCACCACAACCTGTCAGTTAATTAACCTCTTTGTGGTTCATGTGATTGGGCAGAATGTTCAACATTGGATTGATTAAATCAACTTAAATCACTGTATTATTATTATGTATATTTTGTACATTAATACACATTTACAGCAGATTTGCATCCTTAACACTTCCTTCACTGTTGTCGAGCTAGTCATTTGTTTTTTCTCCATCTGGTCCATTCTGGGTCTGTCAGGTTTCCATACTTATCTTGTGGCCTCCAATCTCACAACCAACGAAGATGTAAATATCACAATGAATGCTAAGTTAATGCATCATTTTAAAAGATATATCATTAATTGTGTTTGAATGTAATTAACACTTCTCATTTAATTGTGGCGTTTTATATAGTCAGAATGAAGAACAGCTTCTTTGTGTTTAATGATTGCAGATCAAAGGCTCTTGGTCCAGTAAAAGAGGAGAAGAATCAGGGAATCCGTACACCTATAACAACATCTTCACAAACTGCTGTGTGGTGCTTTGTGGGCCGATGCCACCCAGGTCTGTACTGCATGCTCATGCCAACATCATAGAACACCTCCTAAGATTTTGCTAAAGAAGCAAATATTGTTTGTTTGTGAGTGAATGAAGGATGTCATTTAGCTTAAGGCTGATGTACATCCTGTGCTCAGTACATACTGTTACAAACAAGAACACATTTAGTCAGATCTGAAATGTTAAATGTACACCGGGATTAAAGTGTTCCGTCGCTACGATGGATTTCCGTCAGTTCATAAAGACAGTCACTTGCTTCATTCCTGAATGATTCAGCCGTTCGAACGAATCGATTGAATGAATGATTCAGTGATAAAATCAGTGACTTGCCTCCACCTGCTGGCAGATTTAGTTTCATTTTCAGCATATAATTTCAGTTATTTAAATCATATTTCTGTATTCAAAATGTTATATTTAAAACATTAATCTCCGCATGAATTTATGAATCGAATTGCACTCATGCCACCTCTGAGCCTCATTAAACGTCTGAAAATGTCCCTACAAGCCACTTTTGGAAATGTTAAATGTACACCGGGATTAAAGTGTTCCGTCGCTACGATGGATTTCCGTCAGTTCATAAAGACAGTCACTTGCTTCATTCCTGAATGATTCAGCCGTTCGAACGAATCGATTGAATTAATGATTCAGTGATAAAATCAGGGACTTGCCTCCACCTGCTGGCGGATTTAGTTTAATTTTTAGTGTATAATTTCAGTTGTTTAAATAATTGAATATTTCTGTATTCAAAATGTTATATTTAAAACATTAATCTCCGCATGAATTTATGAATCGAATTGCACTCATGCCACCTCTGAGCCTCATTAAACATCTGAAAATATACCAACAAGCCACTTTTGTGCTCTTCTGTGCCACCTCTGTAGTACAAATTAAATTATTAATACTAATTTCATATGATTGGTAACTTATTTGTCTTATTCTACTTATTATTATATTGCAGGGGTTAAAGCAAAAAATATATATTTTGACTGAAAATTTTTCTTCGACCAAACTCCATTCCTCAGCCATACCTGTCACACACTCAGTTTAAGAGCAGTTTTTTTTTCTTGTAATTAGGAGCGCTTGTCCTCCTAATTTAAACATTTAGGAGCACCTTCTGATCAATAATCAAAAATCAGCCTTCCTAATACGAGGTGACATTTGACTCCTTAAAGTGACTTAAAGAGTATTTTCATTTTGCCTTTGTAATGGCATCATTTTCATCTGTCAAATTAAAAAATTTATGTTTATACGCTTTTTAAAATTTCTATTTAAAACAATATAATGAGTAGAATAATACAAATAAGTTACCAATCATATGAAATTAATATTAATAAATTAATTTGTACTACAGAGGGGGCACAGAAGAACACCAAATTGGCAACATTTAGGAGCACCTTCTGATCAATAATCAAAAATCAGCCTTCCTAATACGAGGTGACATTTGACTCCTTAAAGTGACTTAAAGAGTATTTTCATTTTGCCTTTGTAATGGCATCATTTTCATCTGTCAAATTAAAAAATTTATGTTTATAAGCTTTTTAAAATTTCTATTTAAAACAATATAATGAGTAGAATAATACAAATAAGTTACCAATCATATGAAATTAATATTAATAAATTAATTTGTACTACAGAGGGAGCACAGAAGAACACAAAAGTGGCATGTGGTACATTTTCAGACGTTTAATGAGGCTCAGAGGTGGCATGAGTGCAATAAAATTCATAAATTCATGTGGAGATTAATGTTTTAAATATAACATTTTGAATACAGAAATATTCAATTATTTAAACAACTGAAATTATACACTAAAAATTAAACTAAATCCGCCAGCAGGTGGAGGCAAGTCCCTGATTTTATCACTGAATCATTAATTCAATCGATTCGTTCGAACGGCTGAATCATTCAGGAATGAAGCAAGTGACTGTCTTTATGAACTGACGGAAATCCGTCCTAGCGACGGAAAAAATTAATCCCTGTGTACAGTTTTTTTACATGATGGCCCATCTTTCCCAATTCAGTCTGCTGTGTTTTGAAAGTCAGGTCACAATAGGTCACCTACTCATCCTGTCATCTTTTGCAGCTTGCTTGACAGAAGAGGCTTTTTACTTCCAGATGATGCACCTCAAATTGTGACCTCTGACACTGAGCTCCCTCATTTCGTGGCTAAGAATGACACAAATATGGTAAGAGTGCCTCATCATGTGATATCTTCAAGGCGGAGCATTAGTTCCTAAATCATTTTAACACTAAAAGTATTTTTTAAATAGTTTAAGCATTGTAGCTATAGTTTAAAATTCTGATACATTAGTCAGTCAAAAAACATTCCATGGCATTTCAAACCCTACACTAGCACTCTAAAGTTTGGATTCAGTAAGATTTATCTTAAACAAATTAATTATTTTATTCAGAATGGATGCATTAAGTTGATCAGAAGTGACATTAAAGACTTTTGCATTGTTACAAAAATATATTTAAGTGAAATGCCATTGTATTGATGAATTTTCACATTATTACTGTTTTTATTACTGTATTTGTGATCAAATAAATGCATTCTTGGTGAGCATAAGAGATGTATCTCAAAAAGATCTTACCAAGCCCAGACTTTTGGATGGTTGTAAATATGAACAGAAACCATGACTTCAACAGATCTGATACCATGAACTTTGTCACAGAAAAGCATGTGAAAATGAATGTGAGGTTATTCTGGTTTAATCATGTTTATTGTAAACCCTGGCTTGCTGGGAAAGAGCTCATATTTACAGTTAATGAGGCTTGCACCTGTTCTGTTTGATGTGTGAAGATATGCACATGGAAAAATTTAGATGGATGACAAATGGATTGGAACAGCACATCAACCTTACGGAAGATTATGGAGTCACGTTTCAGTAAAAATTTAAACAAGTTGGCAATCAAGGTTACAAATGCTATTTTAAGATGTTTTTGTCACTGTTAGTCGCAAAGCTAGAGTGGAGTGAAATCATGCAGAGAAGGTTAGATTTGTAAAAAAAAAAAAAGGTTTTAATTGTAGATTTTTGAAGTCTACAAATTCCACTCCAGATTCGTTTTAGTTTATGTTTTGATATTGATTTGCATCAAGCCCTGATGTTTTAAGTGCTGAACTTCACACAGGAGGAGAACTGTCAGGAGTTTGCTCACTCCTGCACTGCCTGAAGGCTCCTGCAGCTCTGTGACATTCGATGGTAAGGGTGTGTTATGGGGCTGCTTGCATGCCATTCCATGGCTGCCTTCTCATGACTCTTTGGGCTTTACTTTGCCTTTTATTTGAACTGTCTAATTGGCTTCCATTTCTTTGCTTTAAAACCATTATCATAAGACATGTCCATCATGTGAGAGGAAATCATTGGGCTTGTTGTCTCTGTTCCTTCTTTGTTCCTGGATGAGTGTTTTAGCTGACATCTGTTTATACTCCATTTTGTGATGGTCGTGTTCATATATTAGTGTTTGCCAGAGGTCTGCCGTTGTTTTGTTTTTCCTCCATTATGTCATTGTTTCCTAATTAATGTATCATCTTCATCACGATTCATCTGTGCTTGTCTCATTCTCATCCACTCTAGGGATTCTGTTGACTGAGGTCATGGTAATGCTCATCACTAGTTATCATGCACACGTGTTCTTTTCCACCTTCTCTCATGATGGATGTTCATCCTGATGTTAAGGAGGTGTTTTCATCTTTGCAACCCCTGGAGATCCCCTTATAACATCAGCTGCACTGCTTGAGCTAATCGGAAACCTTGAAGTGAAATGCTTTGTTTCCATTTGTCGCTACATTTTCATCTTATAAGTTCCTTGGCAATACTAACCTACTTTCATCTTTATTCTAATCTGGTTCTAGTTTCTCATACTCGCACTTGCTCTGCTGTCTAACATCAGTTGATACTTTCTTACCCCAAAATCATGTTTTATGACTGTGATCTTTGTTAGTGTTTTTGTCCCTTAACTAGGGCTGCACAATATATTGAAATAAAATTGATATAGCAATATGGCTTAGTGCGATTGTCAAATCGCTTAGGCTGGGATTTTAATTAAATGTATTCTTTACTGGTTTTTAAGCATGACATTTACACACAGGTATAGTTCATGATACAGTGTTTCAGCGTCTGAAGGCGTCTTGGTTTATTTACTGCGAATGGAGCCCTTCCGAGACAGCTGAATGCATGTAAATGAATACACAGAGCTGAACTTCACTCTGAAATCGGCAACCCGTCAAAATAAAAGCTTGATGGTTTACCATTTGGAAATTGAGAAATTGAGTATAAAATAGTTTTTATGCTCAGTTTATTTTACAGTATTATTATTACAATATTTCTTATTCAATATTTTTGTTTCATAATAACACGATCTCAATATTCTAATCAATAATCACAATAAAATCATGACAGTTATTATTTTATAGTCATATTGAATTAGTCAAAAACAATAGGAACGTGGCCTATAAAACTCAAAAAGAAAGAGATTTTTTAAACTTATTTTCTGTGTAGGTGCACTCCATAACAAAGTCACCCCACTAACTCTATGATAATTACTTTTTTCGAAATAGTTATTTAAGTAATCGTATCGATGTATATAGCAGAAAAACAAAATTATTGTGATGTCAATTTTCCATATTTTTTTTACCTTGTTTTTTTTTTGCCATTCTTTTCACAGTGCACACAGGGCACAAAGGAGCTTTTAGAATCAATGGCACACTCTACAGTGATCCAGAGCACCTGTGCTCCGGACACACCGAAAACCACCCCGGTCCCCCAAGAGAGTCTACTAAGGACCGTCTCTATCACTGTCTCTCCCTCCAGCAAGTCTCCTTCTACCGGCTGCTCAGTCTGCCAGGCCCGGTGCCCCATTGACGCTCCCTGCTCCCAGAGAGGGAACAAACAGGCCGCTCTTCACACCCATAAACCCATGTTGCGTGTATCCAGCCCTCCCTACTCCCTTGGCCACAGTCCGATCATTCTTAGTGACACTCCCGACATGGGCTTTATCCCACTTAACTGAGTGCAGTATCTCTGCCACCAGCAGCCTTGTGCAAACACTGTCCTCGCTTTTACAACTTTGAGAACAGCATCACACTTTTTAAGAAACTGTGACATACTATACTCAGGATCCTCTCAGGAAACATGCCATCTTTCATCAAATGGGAATAAGCCTGCATTGACTTCTTAAATATCAGAGGGATTTTGAGATTTTTTTTTGTACCGTTAACAACATCATACACTTGGTGGAGAGAAACGCAAAACATCTTCAGATGATCAGTGTTTTACAGAACCTCAAGCCATTTTTTTTCAGCCTTTTGCCATCCGCTTAGATCTAATGCAATAATTATATACTTTGAAAGGTCACTTGGGTCTAAAAAAAGCCTTACTTCAGTCACTTCTGTTCATTTTGGTGTTAAAATACCTTCTACAATAAAGTCATTGTTAGTTAAAAAGTATTCACACAAACAGCCAAGTATTTAAACAGCAGTTATGAATGGGTATCAGCGAGCTCAGGATTCAAGGGTTAATGAGTTATCTATGTACGCGATACAATGTTACTTTTGGTCCAAGGTTTATTTTCTCCTGTATAATGTTGCGGCTACAAATTAATTAACAGCTTTTATGTTTATTTTGTGTCATTTTAATACAGGGTCTTTCCTTCATTGAAAAATTTTCGGTGGCAGCCCAAGTGAAATTTGGGCGTCCTAAAGCAAATGCAATAGTATTTGATACAATATTTTCCCCCTAAGATCATTGTCTTCATCTTGAGTTCTGCATTTTTAGGTGGAAAGTGCTAGAGCACAGCGTGAACCACAGACCACAAAACCTGCGTGACCCATTTAAATTCTACTGAGAATTTTCTACTTTAAAGTACTGTCAAGGAAGTCAAATACCTTAAAGAACTAGTTAGCCCTAAATTCATAAACTGTAATCTTGGGAATGTGGATGTTGACTTCCCATAGCATTTTGAGTTAGAAAATTTGGTAACGCTATTGTACATTTCAATTTTAACTAATGCATTAATTAGTTAATGCATTAGGTATCATGAACTAACAATGAAATTTTTTTTTACAGCATTTATGAATGTGATAACTGTTAAATTCTACATATACTTTTTAACATTTCAAGTCATATCGACAAACAATGTATTATGAGCAAACATTAGTTAATTCTAACTTAGATTAATAAATTATTTCAAAAGGTGTTTTTCATTATAATTTTAAGATTACCAAATGTAAAGTGTAATTGCATGTAATTGTAATTGCTATTATAATGCATATTATGGCACAAATTATGTATAATGCATAATTTTAAAAAATAATTGCATTTTGTGTAATCAATCAAATGTGCACGTGTATATAAGCAACCACTGAAAATCATTTTTAATCTAGGAAAAACCCTATAGTATTTCTGACTTTTCATTGGTGGGTCAAAGATAGTTTTCTGATTGTTATTAAAGTGTTTTTACTAAGCTTGAGAGAAGAACTGTTTTTGCCTTGAGATTGATGGATTTCTGATGAGTTATTTACATCATCATTAAGATGATCAAGTTTTTTTAATAAGTCGGAGTCTGGCACAGTAATAAAGTTGGCAGTATAAGTTTCAAAATATTTTGCTCATCTAAGAACTTAGATTTATAGAAGTCGATCACTGCCAGCAGTGTTGGAGGGAAGGTAAATAAATAATGACTTGTTGTGTTTTGTGTTATTGTCCCTTTTCACCTGAAGATTTAAAGACATACAGTAATAAACAACTGTTCTTTCCACTTGTGATTTAGTTGCCTGAATGTTTTCATCTGATTTTGAGGGACACGCTCTCACATAACATCATCTTTCCTTACCTTCTGTGATCTGCTGCATGCCAGACATTTAAACCGTAGATGGCACAGTTTTCCACTTGTTTGCATGCGTCGGAAGAGGACGATGTATGGAGGCATCGTTGATTAATTATTGCTTGATTGATTCAAGCATTTGCATTTGTAGTACTTGAAAGTGATACTTGGCTTTACCACAATGCCATCAAGCTGACATTTATTCTGGATGTAACAGGATATGGCAAATGCTGAAATGCATAATTGTGGGGTTGCTGTAAATTCTCTCAGTGTAAGCTAGTCTATTCTAACAAAAAGATGTGGGATCAGTAAAGAAGAACAATCATCAGCTGAGTTTCAACCTCATATCTGCAAACTAGTCGCTTTTCGGCGAAATTCGCCGTTTTGAATCAAAATATGTCATTTATGTGAATAGTCTAGATCAGGGTTCCTCAAATCTTGCCCTGGAGGTCCTATGCGCTGCAGAGTTTAGCTCCAACCCTGATCAAACTCAGCTACCTGTGATTTTCTAATGATCCTGAAGACATTGATTAGCATGCTCAGGTGTGTTTGATTAGGGTTAGAGCTAAACTCTGCAGGAAAGTGGATCTCGTGGGCCAGATTTGACGATCCCTCGTCTAGATCCTAAAAGGAGAGAGCGATTGCAAGCTCGTAGACAGGAGTGTGTTCGAACAAAGTCCCTTTCTCGGTTCGACTTGAGGCAGCAATGCGCGCAGACCGATCGCTGTATGACATCAAAGCACCGGCGACAGCTACAGAGAGCAGATGGCTCCACATGCTTTCGAATCGCTCTCGCGGTACTTTGATGTCCGGTCGGTCTGCGCGCTGCTGCTTCAAATCGAACACGTCTCATCTCACAGCCGGTCAGTTTTGACGGCACACTTACGCTCACATCCGCATGTAAACATGTCATCGGTATTGAGGTTCTTCATCGTGAGTTAAACAGACACAAAATTCGTTTTGTGTCTCCGAGCAACACAGCGGTGTTTCGATACTGAATGGATCCACGTTTTTTTTTTACGAATCTAGCTAGTCAATGATTCAGTAACCCATTCATAAAGACAGTAGTCACTTGCCTCGTTTTTGAATGAATCAGCCGTTTGAATGAATGACTAAGGACTCGCTCATTAAAACCGTGGTGGTTTTAACTGGTGGTTTGGTTTCATATTTAAAAGTATTACATTTTTCCCAACATTTTGAACTTGTATGTTCAAAAATATTTAAAACATTAATCTTATAAAATTATTGATGCATTTGAAATTTTGTGGTATCAATGCATTTATGGCACCTATCATGTAAACATGTCATCGGTATTGAGGTTCTTCATCGTGAGTTAAACAGACACAAAATTCGTTTTGTGTCTCCGAGCAACACAGCGGTGTTTCGATACTGAATGGATCCACGTTTTTTTTTTACGAATCTAGCTAGTCAATGATTCAGTAACCCATTCATAAAGACAGTAGTCACTTGCCTCGTTTTTGAATGAATCAGCCGTTTGAATGAATGACTAAGGACTCGCTCATTAAAACCGTGGTGGTTTTAACTGGTGGTTTGGTTTCATATTTAAAAGTATTACATTTTTCCCAACATTTTGAACTTGTATGTTCAAAAATATTTAAAACATTAATCTTATAAAATTATTGATGCATTTGAAATTTTGTGGTATCAATGCATTTATGGCACCTATATGCAGCTTCTGTTTCCTCTGCAGTGAAAAGATGGAGTTTGTTGATAGTATGAGCACTCTAATGTGAACATTAAAATTTGCAAAAATAAATCACTCCACTGCTCACAAAGAGAAGAATGAACACCGATGACTTCACAACAGAGTTGCACTGTCCAAAAAGTTTGTGGTATACAATTTTTTTTTACTTGAAGCATATGTTGTCTTTTTCCTTTGTTTTGTTGCCAGAGTTCACCAGAACGCTTCATTTACATGTTAAATTCTCAAACATCTTCTTCTGGGGGGGATGCCCCCAGACAAGTGTCATATTCTGAACTATGTCACCTTTTTGGCCTCTTGTGAGTTTGCACGTATGCACCTTTTCTTCTTTCCATTACAAGGAGCTTCTTACCTTTCTTTTGGTACTCAGCATCTAGATTTCTTTAAATAGAAAGCGCCACGGTGTAGTCATACATTTCATAGTGTTTTTCATTTAGCTCAGAACTAACCTCAATTACCCCCATGCATCTCTTGCCTGTAAGATTCTGTCATTAAACATACGGCCACCCATCATTCAACCAACCTCCAGGGACTCCAGATGAAGATGTACCTGTTCACATAACATCATCTTTCCTTACCTTCTGTGATCTGCTGCATGCCAGACATTTAAACCGTAGATGGCACAGTTTTCCACTTGTTTGCATGCGTCGGAAGAGGACGATGTATGGAGGCATCGTTGATTAATTATTGCTTGATTGATTCAAGCATTTGCATTTGTAGTACTTGAAAGTGATACTTGGCTTTACCACAATGCCATCAAGCTGACATTTATTCTGGATGTAACAGGATATGGCAAATGCTGAAATGCATAATTGTGGGGTTGCTGTAAATTCTCTCAGTGTAAGCTAGTCTATTCTAACAAAAAGATGTGGGATCAGTAAAGAAGAACAATCATCAGCTGAGTTTCAACCTCATACCTGCAAACTAGTCGCTTTTCGGCGAAATTCGCCGTTTTGAATCAAAATATGTCATTTATGTGAATAGTCTAGATCAGGGTTCCTCAAATCTTGCCCTGGAGGTCCTATGCGCTGCAGAGTTTAGCTCCAACCCTGATCAAACTCAGCTACCTGTGATTTTCTAATGATCCTGAAGACATTGATTAGCATGCTCAGGTGTGTTTGATTAGGGTTAGAGCTAAACTCTGCAGGAAAGTGGATCTCGTGGGCCAGATTTGACGATCCCTCGTCTAGATCCTAAAAGGAGAGAGCGATTGCAAGCTCGTAGACAGGAGTGTGTTCGAACAAAGTCCCTTTCTCGGTTCGACTTGAGGCAGCAATGCGCGCAGACCGATCGCTGTATGACATCAAAGCACCGGCGACAGCTACAGAGAGCAGATGGCTCCACATGCTTTCGAATCGCTCTCGCGGTACTTTGATGTCCGGTCGGTCTGCGCGCTGCTGCTTCAAATCGAACACGTCTCATCTCACAGCCGGTCAGTTTTGACGGCACACTTACGCTCACATCCGCATGTAAACATGTCATCGGTATTGAGGTTCTTCATCGTGAGTTAAACAGACACAAAATTCGTTTTGTGTCTCCGAGCAACACAGCGGTGTTTCGATACTGAATGGATCCACGTTTTTTTTTTACGAATCTAGCTAGTCAATGATTCAGTAACCCATTCATAAAGACAGTAGTCACTTGCCTCGTTTTTGAATGAATCAGCCGTTTGAATGAATGACTAAGGACTCGCTCATTAAAACCGTGGTGGTTTTAACTGGTGGTTTGGTTTCATATTTAAAAGTATTACATTTTTCCCAACATTTTGAACTTGTATGTTCAAAAATATTTAAAACATTAATCTTATAAAATTATTGATGCATTTGAAATTTTGTGGTATCAATGCATTTATGGCACCTATATGCAGCTTCTGTTTCCTCTGCAGTGAAAAGATGGAGTTTGTTGATAGTATGAGCACTCTAATGTGAACATTCAAATTTGCAAAAATAAATCACTCCACTGCTCACAAAGAGAAGTATGAACACCGATGACTTCACAACAGAGTTGCACTGTCCAAAAAGTTTGTGGTATACAATTTTTTTTACTTGAAGCATATGTTGTCTTTTTCCTTTGTTTTGTTGCCAGAGTTCACCAGAACGCTTCATTTACATGTTAAATTCTCAAACATCTTCTTCTGGGGGGGATGCCCCCAGACAAGTGTCATATTCTGAACTATGTCACCTTTTTGGCCTCTTGTGAGTTTGCACGTATGCACCTTTTCTTCTTTCCATTACAAGGAGCTTCTTACCTTTCTTTTGGTACTCAGCATCTAGATTTCTTTAAATAGAAAGCGCCACGGTGTAGTCATACATTTCATAGTGTTTTTCATTTAGCTCAGAACTAACCTCAATTACCCCCATGCATCTCTTGCCTGTAAGATTCTGTCATTAAACATACGGCCACCCATCATTCAACCAACCTCCAGGGACTCCAGATGAAGATGTACCTGTATCTGGATAAAAAGGGAATTGATTTGCTGACAGAGTGCCACAGTTCTGAGGAATTTGCACTTGCAGTGAATAGGTAAAAATACCAAGGTTATTTTGTTGTTACATGTCATGACTATGGTTGGCATAAGCTTAAGCATAAAACTTGTTTCCCTAATACACTGGCATTTTTTTTCTTTTTCTTTTTGAAGCTAAGTTAAATAAAACAAAGATTATTGGAGTACATTTGACCAAAAAATATTTTTCAACTTAAACTTTTTTTTTTTTTTCAATTTACTTGCCATTTCTTTAAAACATTAATCTTATAAA